AAGAACTTGCAGCAGTCAAGATATTATTAGGAGTTAGTTCCCCTTACATCTGTGAGGTAGACTCGGCCGGAGTAATAGATAGCTTATATAATCAGTGCTTTTGACCTCTTATAACTGTGGCCCGAAAGGGGTGAACAGGGTATATGTGGCAATGAAACAGCTTGAGTGCTGTATACATGTTCCCGTCAGCTCTTTTGGTAGACTCTTCCAGCCTCACTGCAAGCTCACTTAATGAAAGCTTGCGACCGCTTATTGAGTGGCCCGATAGGGGTGAACAGGCTATTTCTGTGGCAATGAAAGAGTTTTGAATGTTATGTTTACTGTTCATTGGTGATTATGAACGTCTTTTTACATAAATGAGGTTTACGTATATGGGTGACAATGTTTCAAAATTAGGAAAGGAAGCAGTGATTATTTGATTGTATAGACGCTTCGCCACTGAGTGCACCAGGTTTAGGTGACTTGAAAATTGAAAAAAAACCTCAGGGAAACGGTGGAAAAAACCCAGGGCTTAAAGAGTTAAGTCAAATCTGAGTCGAGATTTTTGTTGGTAAGACTTTACCACTTTACCAGGCATAAACAGGTGAGGACACTTAGCTGAGATGGAAGTAAAAACTTAAAACAAAAAGTGGAAAAAGGCAAAGGGAATTAATAAGAGGCTGAATTCCTAACTTTGATGAATTCCAGACGACTGATCAATCGACAATAGTCAAAAGAGACCCCTACTGTGATTGTGAATATCCATATTTCTAAAATAATGTCATAATTTGATACGAACAAAAACAAACAAAAAAGGCAACAGGAGTTGTGTTAACCCTCTTCATGCCACAGTGACATACATGGCATGTCATGGAAGCGCACAATTTTCCCACATCTTGATGCACCAGAGGAAGCAAAACGCATCAAATCTAAAGGGTTAAATCCAGTTGAAAGTAGGAATGGTTGTAACACTTTAAATTGCTTAAATTCAGAGACTCAAGTTACCTGCATTTACATTACTAGAAAAATATAAGCAAGATGTTCTGGCATTATTCAATTATAGTCACCTTTAGTCCGAAATTGAATCTGGGTCGTGATCAGAGAGTGCTAGTACCACAAATTTTATCGCACCATGCCAATTAACACAGGCAAGACAGCAACAGTCAGAGTTACAAACAAAAGAATCCCTTTACTGACTATGGTACTGCAGACCCACGCATGTGAAACACCCTCTGTGCCAGGGCAAAAAATAGGGCCTCAATATCAACTTCATTAAAACACTATTATTAACTCAGCTGTTTAAAATCATTTTTATTTTTGTAGTAGTGTGAAAGAATCCCAAAATAACCCAAGACTTTACAAACTTTGAAAAAACCCATGACTTTTTTAAACTGAGAAAAAAGATAATCTATACCTTTCAGTGCACCCTGAGCTGCCTGCAGTGACTCCGACAACTTGTCGACATCCGAGAGATTTTTTTCCAGCTGGCCTAGGGAGTGTCGCTGCTTCTCCAATTCTTCTTCTTTCTGCTGTAGCTCTAGGCTCTTTTTCTCCAGCTCCAACTCTCTACTTCTGACAGTATCGGTTAAACTTTTATTGGATTGTGAGAGCACCAGTTTCTCCATGTCTATACATTGTATCTTGGACTCCAAGTCTTGTATCTCTGCAGAGGTGAATCAAATTATTAAGAAAGTAATTATTGGCTAAAACTGAATAAGTCCTAAATTAATCTCCTTGATGGGATTCAAACCCACCATCTTTAGGTTGAGAGCCAAAGAGGCTAGCCACTAGACCACCAACACCAGAAGTATCAGGTATTTTTGTCTGTCTACTGGGACGTTGTATCCCTCTCAGCCTAGGCTGGCCTTGATATGCAAGGCTGAAGCCTCCCGCCTCCTAAATGATCTAAATTGTGTCGAATGAGGTGTAATATGTCTGCAATTTAAAATTACAATCTGAGGTGGGACCTCTTTAAGTCCACAACCGATTACACAAAACCAAGTGAACAGAGAATACTACAAACTCTACAAACAACAAAACTCAAGAACTAAGCCTGGTTAGGGATTTGAACCAGAGGCTTTTGTATTGTAAGCTAAAAAATAAAGTAAGTATATAATGGTTTTAATGCTCCTTTGCCTGAAAGCTTCACAAAATGACCTAATTTCAAAGAAGACCGAGTCTGGTATTTGAACCAGTGCCATCCGCTCTGTATTTCAGTATGATACCAACTGAGCTAACAGAGCACCCTCCCACTGTAGTCATGCTATTTTCCAAACTGAATTAACAGTATGCCCTTTGCTTTTTAAAAATAACTTTCTAAGAAACATCTGTCCTCAAAGATAAAAGAAAAAAATTAAACCAGTATGACAGCTACTTAAAATATAATATTTTTACAAAATTATTTTCTAGATTTCAACCATTCCCTCTCCTTTTAAGTAGCATAAAATGAGTCTATCATTCAAAATCTGTTGCACACAGTAAAAACAAGACATCAACTGCATAGTGTAAGACTCCTTTTTTGGGGGGGGGGGGGGGGGGTACGTGCTTTACAACGCTCGCAACTGCATAAGGTCATATGCCAGTTTGCAAAGTGACGTATACAGAGTCTTACATAGAGCGGTCTATGTGTAGTGATCTCCACAAACCTATGGAAGATTTCTCTTTGATAAGTACAACTTGATCCTTAGCTGAGCGCAAACAGTCTACAACCTCGCGCCTTCCCTCGTCCAGGTGTGTCCTCATATCTGTCAGACTCTGTCTTTGCTGGCGAACCGTTTGGCTCAGGGAGGACAGTTGTCTCAAACAATTCATGTACTTCTTCCTGCATAGAAATAATAATAATAATAATAATAATAATAATAATAATAATAATAATAATAATAATAATAATAAAAATAATAATTTTAATAATAATAATAATTATTATTAGGCTATATTAACTATTATAATAATAATAATAATAATAATAATAATAATAATAATAATAATAATAATAATAATAATAATAATAATAATAATAATAGTTAATATAGCCTAATAATAATAATAATAATAATAATAATAACAAAAATAATAATGTAATAATTTTGGAAATACCGATAATAATATTGATAATTATGATAATAATAATAATAATAATAATAGTAAGGAGCTGCTTAACCTCTTCGCAGCCACGCCCATAAAATTTACAGGCCTGAACCGTGTAGCGCTGTGCCTATAGTCCCGTAGAATTTACGGGACTGTGACAGTGGTTGTTTTTATATCAATTATAAGGGAAGTTATTGCTAACATCTTGTAATTATTATTGAGGTACCTTCCCTTTATGTTTACCACCATTTCCCCCTGTCCTCATTGAAAGCGTCAGAATAAGATTTTAGCTCAAAGAGAAGATTAGATCTAACACATCTACCACAGAAAAATGATTTATTGGCAGTAATCACAGAAGGGCTTCCTATATATATATATATATATATGAATTGTATGGGCGTTGTATAAGGTAGGAATTAAGCCTCTTGTCGCTTCCTCTTTACCTGCAGACACTCAGACAACATGTACTCCCCTTTTTTGGTCTCAGTTTATCATTAATCGAATGTGTTGTTTTATGTTGTTTGGTGGTTTTGTTTTGAGATCGTGTTATTACTCCAACTTTTCTTCATCTATCTCTCAATGAAATCCCCCTAAAATTATAGCAATAGAAACGTGGTTCAGAGTAGAATGTACATGCAGAAATTCATGAAGAAATATTCATTAGGCCTAAATAAAAAGTTATGGGAGGTAGACTGGGGTAGCCCCTGAGCCGCCTTGGTTCACGGGTCACGGGATTTCCCCCGTCAAAGGGGTGTACAATGTGCGGCATTGAAGGGGTTAATAATAATAATTATAATAATAATAATAATGATGATGATGAAGATAATAATAATAATAATAATAATAACAATAATAATAAAAATACTACTACTACTACTACTAATAGCCTAATAATAATAATGATCAATAACAATTATAAAGTGTCAGACGTGAATTAAACAGACATCGGTGACTATAATATATGTGAGGTGGGCTGACAAAATGAGTTACTTCTCGGATTTCAGCCCAATGGAAATTGATCCATCAACTTTATAGGTGAAGTTTGTACAGTTTGTAAGCATGTAATACTAAAAGACACAGTAGACTTGAAGAAAATGGCATCAACTGAAAATCTATTAATCTGACCCTAGTGTCGATTTTCGCCGATATCTCCCTTCTTAGACTAAGAGAAGTAACTCATTTTGTCAGCATGCCTCACATATGGTTCTCCCTTCATTTCGACATTCGGATGCTATTGAAAAATCCTATGCTATTATTATTATTATTATTATTATTATTATTATTATCATTATTATTATTATCCTGGTGTTTCCCTGTCACCCATTTGTTCAGATTATCCAAATAGGTTTATCTGGGTCTGCCCCTGCTTCGTTTACCTTCTATATTTATGTGTAAGGACGCGGTGGAATCATGGGCTCGTCAATTTTTGGGCATGTGGAGTTACTGGTATCATCTTAAACCTAAAGCTAGTTCATTTGTCTTGCTTTCAATATAAAAAAGTACCCATCTTTTCGGAATAGAAGTCGGGATATTTGTGATTGAATGAAGTAAGGGGTCGCCTGGTTTCAGAAGTAAAATTAGTGGGAAATGGTCGCCAAAGTTTATATATTTCCTTACCTTGAGAGTCTGTGGAAACAGAAAGTTTACTTTTTTGTGTGCCCCTAATCAACGTTTTTCATTGGTATCCACGCAGGAATAATGTGTTCTTTGTTTGTTTGTTTGTTTAGTATAGGGTTTTACGGCGCTCGCAACTGCATAAGGTCATATGAGCGCGCGGGACACACCTAATACTTTTTCGGTGGTAGGAAATTTTGAATTTTGCCCAGGTGGCGGCCGAAGCCTACTCTTATCGATTTTAGACCACCAAGGGATCTTTAACATGCGCAACTTGCACACGGGCCCTCCGAGATTTTTCGCCCTTGTCCGAGAAGGCTAGGTGTAGATCTTTCCTACCAGAAGATCAGGGGTGTGGCAGAAAGACAGCAGTCAGGAGGAGCCAAGAAGTAGCAGTAGAAAGGCTGCAGAAAGAGTCAGGAGCCCAGAGGAGGGGGCAAAGGAGGTGAGGGGGTGGGGGCAGAAAGTGGAAATGAAAGCAGACAACAGAACATTGTTAGAGATCAGGAAAGGATGTGAAAGGAGACAATTTTAGAGAAGAAAATTTTTTGGTCGCTACCCGGAATCGAACCCGGGACCTTTGAATGAGAGGCCAACACCTTAACCTCTAGGCCACGAGAGCCCCATGTGTTCTTTAATGGACATGAAAGGTGTTGAGCCAAAAACAAACATTTGATCAATATTCCCCAAACCTGCGAAACAATGCCAGTTTATTCAGTTTCATTAATTTGACGAACGCCTGATTTCACCACGATATCTCACATTTGTCCAGTGAGCGCAACATGTCCAACGTCTTTATGTCGAGCCAAATGTCCTATAAATTGCATTTTGTTGCTTTTTATTTATTATTAGTAATGAGCTACCCGCGTTTTTCCTCATTTCACTTCTTTCCTGTCAATGAAATTCTGAAAGTCTCCTTAGAAACAACATTTCTGTTGCTTCTATTTTATTTTCACTATCTTCGGTTATTGTCCAGGATTCAAAACAGTATACAACAGCAGCAACAAAAACAATAGAAGGCATAAAAACAATTTAAAACAATAATTTTGTAGAGATTTTTTACGGCGCTCGCAACTGCATAAGGTCATTATGAGCGCCAGAAGATTAGAGGTGTTACAAGATAGAATCAAACATAAAAAAAGAAGAAGGGGAGATGATAGATGTTTGATATAATTAAAGAAGGAGCAAACCACACCAGAGTGCTCGCCAACCACCCACTAACGCATTTATAATAGTGTGCATTCACTGAAAGACTTGACTTTGAGAGTGTTCAACTCCCTTTACAGCAAAGGCCGCACGAATCAAAACTTTATTTTATGAATGGTTCCATTACGTACTGCAGGGAAAAGGAAAGACAGGATAATATACAACGAGGGAAAAAGTAAGATCAACGAGTGGTGCCCTCCAACATTCTGCACACAGACATTGAAGCAGACACACAGTGAAACAGACACAGGCAATAAAGCTGACAGACACTGACACAGACACAGACACTGAATCAGACACACACATTGAATCAAGACACAGACACAGAAGCAGACACACACATTGAATCAAGACACAGACACAGAAGCAGACACACACATTGAATCAAGACACAGAAACTGAAACTGACATTGACATAGACACATACAATTATACACTTTGAAACAGACACACGCACAGCCACTGAAGCAGACGCGGACATTGAAGTAGAAACAAAGCATTGAAGCAGACACAGGAATTGAAACAGACACAGACATTGAAACAGACACAGATACTGAAACAGACACAGATATATTGAAGCAGACATACGTACTAAATCAGACACAAACATTGGCACTCATAAAAGCAGACACAGCAGACATTGAAGCAGACACAGACATTGAAACAGACACAAACATTAAAACAGACACAGACACTGAAACAGACACAGACATTGAAGCAAAC